AAGAGGTCTAGCATCGCCCATGAATTGCACTTGTTTTTATAAATAGATTTTTTACTTTCTTTAACTCAAGGGTCCACAGTAATTCGTATAAAAACGTTTGTGGTATCCCCCCTTCGCATGTGTATGTACTGTTATATTGTGTATGCTATGTCACGCTGGATCCCGACCCTAATCGGAAATGAGTCGGTCAGGAATCAGGATTCACAAATCAGTAATGGGGTGTAGGCAGTTAGGATGAATTGTGTCGTGTTTTAGAGTGCTGATGACAGAGGCAAAGCGATTGACGAAGCACAAGCAAAAGTTGAGGAACTTAAGAAAGGAATTGCAGACACCAAGACTAAAGTGAACGACCTGAATCAGGAGATGACAAGGACGACACTGAGCGCAGAGGATCTCAAGGCGCTACAGGATAAAGCGAACAAGGAATCCAACAATCCTGACGACCACATCACATTACCAGACCCTGCAGATATTAAATTGAGAGCAGCGGATCAGCTGGCGAACATGCTGACTGTCATTGATACGATTGTTGATCCCGTGGTGAAGACAGAAGCACTAGACTTGGAAAGGGCGATTAAAACGAAGCTTATTAGGGTGTTAGACAGTCCGTCCGGTTTTGCTGCGCTGACTGCCCAATGCAAAGAAATTGATGCAGCCCTCTTGCAGTTCAGAAATCTGAATATCTATGGCTCTGCTGCGAAAATGGAACTGTAAAACACTGGCTTGATCTATTAATTGTATTTGAACTAGTCTGTCATCTAGACTTCAGAAAAGGCCTAAAATCCTATTTACTGTAGATTAACTAGGTTCAGACATTCTTAGTATATATTCATATATGAAGTAATGCTATGTCTATTAAAAATATTATTAGAATTGAAACAGGAACTAGTGGGAATATAACGTTGTGTAAAAGGAAAAGAAAAAATATTACAAAGTGTCGGAAAACATGTGTCTTCTCTTATATTAAATTCTACAATATCGTTTTTATTGTTATACTTTTTTCGAGAAAAAGGTATATGACTGACTTGCAATAGCATAAAAAATGATCTCTTTGAGCCATAAGTCGGTTAAATTCAGTTTTCCTGGACTTGTTTAGACAAATTCTCTATCAACAATCGCTCTGTAAGTGTTCTTAAAGTTATTTCACTCTGAAGTGTCCAAGTACAACAGTCTTTATGATGAGATATAGGTATTCCCATTTTGTGTCTGCCGTTCCCAGTAAATCCATTTCCCCAGTCCAAAAATACACAAACCCCAGTTACCTCTTCAGGACCCTCAATTTATATTGGATAATTACAAATATTCGCTATATATATTGCACAGTAATAGACACTTGGCGGTGCACATGAAACAATGGCATGAGGTCGAGGCAGGCAATTAATGATTATTATTATTAAAAGTTTATTTATACAGGATAAAAACCTTATTCAATATAACTAAATACTGCTTTCACTAGGGGTCCTGTAATAAATTCTGCTGGTAAAGCATTTCATTGTTTTCAGAGGTTTTCTCTTTCTTGTGACAGCTTTTTCTGACGAAATATTTTTAACTGGTATACCTTTCACTTTAGAATAAAATACCGTACCATAATGTCTTAATCCCTGACTGAGTTTACAAAATAAGTACAACCACAAACGTCCAACTTTGCTGACTCCTTAGAATGGCAAAAGTATTAAAATCTTCACTGTGTATTTGTCGGATTTTATAGAGTAGCAAAATCGAAACGTTTTTAACTGTGCATCGGTATAGTGGTTTATCGAAGCGTTTAAATATTGTTTAAAATAATTATCAAAACTACGGGGTTTCTGAATATAAGTAAAACCACCAGTCTGTTAAGGTTTGATCATCTTAAACGCACAATAAGTTTAACAGGTTGAAGTAATTTTACTTTTTTGTCGTATGCATGGGTTAGTACTTGGACGCGCAATAAATTCTAGACATTTGAACCGAGAGCTCTTAGTGGACGCAACTGCGTGTTACAAAAGACACAAAATGGCTACACGCGATAGTTTTGTTTTATTTGCCTCGTTTGTATTTTGCTTTAATGCTGTTGTTGTGTCGTCTTTGACTCATGATCAGAAGGTTGATATGATAACAGAAGCGTACACTTCGCTCAAATTTGTCGTGCAGTCTTTGATAGATGTACAAACAGAGATCCAAGGAGCCGCCATCACGGCTGAGGATGATATCTTGACATTGGATGACTCGAAAGCTCGATCTGAATATGAAGTGAATGTAATGAAGGTTGATCATCAGATGATGTTGGCTGAGCTTGCAAAACGTCAAGAGGTCGTCACCCCAGAAGAACAACAGGTAAAGAATTACACCAGGGCTGGCACTAAAGGTGTGTGTGGGGGTACTCGGCAAAATTTGCCTTGATAACAAGGCAAAATTCACTTGCACCTCCACCCCCCCCATTCAAAGAGGTCTAGCATCGCCCATGAATTACACTTGTTTTTATAAATAGATTTTTTACTTTCTTTAACTCAATATGTATATGTATATGTATATGCATATAGGGTCAATATCAAAAGGTTTCCACAACAGCTTGTTTCATCCAAGAGCCGAATGATCAACATTGATTTAAATCCTAATTCTGTATCCTCACACATCCCTACCTGACCTAACTTTAACCCTATAACCCTAATCCAGGGGCGTACATATAGGTTTTGTCGCAGGAAATTTCTGAGGTTCAAACTGTTCCGGGGGGAGCATACCCTAATTGCATGCAAGGTGGAGTAGACACGCCGGAAACGACCCTGATCGGGAGTGAGTCTGTGTGGATTCACAAATCAGTAATGGGTGTAGGCAGTTAGGATGAATTGTGTCGTGTTTTAGAGTGCTGATGATAGAGGCAAGGCGATTGACGAAGCACAAGCAAAAGTTGAGGAACTTAAGCAAGGAATTGCAGACGCCAAGACTAAAGTGAACGACCTGAATCAGGAGATGACAAGGACGACACTGAGCGCAGCCGATCTCAAGGCGCTACAGGATAAAGCGAACAAGGAATCCGACAATCCTGACGACCACATCACATTACCAGACCCTGCAGATATTAAAAGGAGAGCAGGGGAACAGCTGACAAACATGCAGACTGTCATTGATACGGTTGTTGATGACGTGGCGAAGAATGAAGCACAAGAATTGAAAAATACGATTGCAACGAAGCTTAATAGTGCGTTAGACGGCCAGTCCAATTTCGCTGTGTTGACTGTCCAATGCAAGGAAATTGATGTGGCTCTCTTGCAGTTCAGAAATCTGAATATCTATGGCTCTGCTGCGAGAATGGAACTGTAAAACACTGGCTTGATTTTAATATTAATAATGAACTGCTCTGTCTGTCATAGACTTCAGGAAAAGCCCAAAATCGTGTTTACTGTAGAACTATGTCCAGACATATCGAAAAATGTAAAACAGTATTAAAAAATAAAAAATATTATAATTGAAACAGGAACTAGTGGGAATATAACTGAAACGTTGTGTAAAAAGAAAAGAAGAAAAAATATTACAAAATGTCCAAAAACATGTTGTGTTTACTACTCTTGTACAGTATTATAAAATTCTACAATGTCATTTTATTTGGTATACTTTTTTGACTTACAATAGCAGAAAAATGATCTGTTAACTTTTGAGCCGTAAATCGGTTAAATTAACTTTTCCTGGACTTTTTTTTGGACAAATTCTCCATCAAAAATTGCTCTGTAGCTGTTTGTAAGTTATTTCGCTCTGAAATGTCGAACAACAACTGTCAAAGTTTATGTTATGTACGTTTCCCATCTTGTCATTCTCACTAACCCAAATCCCATTACCCCATACTCAAACCCCAGTTACCCCTTCAGGACCCTCCATTTATATTGGATAATTACAAATATTCGCTATTGCACAGTAATAGACACTTGGTCTTGCCTCTTGGCCATGAAACAATGACATGAGGTTGAGGCTGGCAATAACTAGATAAAGATAGCAGCCATGTTGGTGGTCTTTCAACGAAAGAATCTCATTATCTTTCATTTAAAATTGGCGGGTTGGTAGATTGCTGAATCAACAAGCCAAATATTATTATCATAACGTTTTGTTTTCTTTGTTCGAAACAAAGTCAAAGACATCAAAGGGCCGTTTATAACAATGTTTGGCTTATTTATTCAGCAACCTACCAACCCTGTTGTCTTTTAAGAGTGTACTTGCGATCATCGTTTCTCGTGCGCTCAATTGACACTCAAGCAATTCGTGAAAATCAAGAAGTGTTCGGCTACTCTATTTAGTCGTATATATAATCAAATATTGTCCAGTTATCCAGCACCAAATCATCTCAGTTCTATTGCCAAAGACATGTTCATCAGATATTCTTACATAACCCCTTGTCTTTGGTTAGGACCAGGATTTCCCAGCCCAGCGGACGAAAATACAAAGTACACAATTGCCATCAACACTAAACCGGGCAGTCCAAACAATATTAGCGCTACAAGAGCAGCAATAAGAATGACTGGTTCGACCACGTTTCCTGCCAAAGTGAATCGCGGTATGCCAACACGAATGAGGTAATTGTTCATCTCTGTAAACGGGGAATTGGCATTGTTTTGTCCGCCATCTTGGATTCGCGGACCATTTTCATTTGAGGTTCTAGCGTTAGTTTGGCCTCGATTTGTGTTGCTTCTGCGTTCACGATACGCCTTAGCTCTTGGGTCGTTGTCTGGAACTATTTCTCCGTTGATTATTGTCACCATTCTCTTAACTTTTTAACATTTTATTTTTACTTTTTCAAAATTCGTCCACCTTAAATTAGACTAGAACCCATGTCTCCTCGGCCTCCTCACTGATCTATGTATTCACAATTGCACGTCTGGACAGCCAATCGTCCGCCATATTGGTTTACAATAAAGATTGTTCAAGACTCAAAATAAAGGGAAAATAAATCTTTTTAAAAGCTTTGGCGTAAATTTTGGACCAATGCAACATGGCTAGTAGCTTCATAAAGACAAGAAGTTTCTTTAATGCTGGTAAATTTGCATCTTAATCTTGTTTCTGTGCATGCGAACTTTAAAGACATGCTTTGCAAAATATAGTGTATTTCAGTATCTGTACTTTATTTATTGCTCATTTTATAAATATATATTTGATTTGAATACAGCCAGGCCAGGTCATATTGGAGTAAGACTGCTGTCTAATGGAACACCAGAGGTATTTAATAGTTTTATACAATTTTCGGGACAGTATTTATAAATTTATATTAATAATACACTTTGATAGTTTGATTGTTTAAATGTTAATTTTTAGGAGAAGAGAACATTCGGAAATATGAAAGTATGTAAATGAAGAAAAAATAAATAATACACTATTTGAAATTTTATAAGTGTTTTAATTTGTTGAGTAAAAATGTGTCTTAGTTATTTTTTTGTGTTTCTTAAAAGGATGAAGACAGAATATTTACTAATCTATATGGTAGACATGACTGGAAACTTAAGGGGGCTATGAAAAGGGTGGGTGTACCATAGAGTACCATTTGTACTGGCAATACATTGACCACCATACCATAACTTTCATCTAACTACTGTATTTCTGTAACACAGGGTGATTGGTATAAAACCAAAGAAATATTGTTAAAAGGTTCTAATTGGATTCTGGATGAAATTAAAATGTCTGGACTAAGGGGCAGAGGGGGTGCTGGTAAGTAGTTATTAATATATGACCATCACCACCATCGTCACAATCACCATCATCCTCATTATTATCACCATCATCACCATGACCACTATCATTATCACCATGACCAACATCACCATCATCATTATCAGTATGACCACCATCACCATTATTATCATCACCATCATTATTATCACTATGACTACCATCACCATAATCATTATCAGTATGACCACCATCATCATCACCATCATTATTATCATCATTATCACCATGACTACCATCATCATTATCAATATGACCACCATCATCATCATTATTATCACCATCATTATAATTACCATCATTATTTTCACCATCATTATTATCACCATCATCACCATCATTATTATCACCATGACCACCATCATCATTATCACCATCATTATTATCACCATCATTATTATCACCATCATAATCACCATCATTATTATCACCATCATTATCACCATCATTATTTTCACCATCATTATTTTCACCATCATTATTTTCACCATCATTATAATTACCATGACCACCATCATCATCACCATCATTATCACCATCATCACCATCATCATTATCACCATCATTATTATCACCATCATTATAATTACCATCATTATAATTACCATCATTATTATCACCATCATTATTATCACCATCACCATCATCATCATCACCATCATTATCACCATCATCACCATCATCATTATCACCATCATTATTATCACCATCATTATAATTACCATCATTATAATTACCATCATTATTATCACCATCATTATTATCACCATCACCATCATCATCATCACCATCATTATCACCATCATCACCATCATCATTATCACCATCATTATTATCACCATCATTATAATTACCATCATTATAATTACCATCATTATTATCACCATCATTATTATCACCATCACCATCATCATCATCACCATCATTATCACCATCATCACCATCATCATTATCACCATCATTATTATCACCATCATTATAATTACCATCATTATAATTACCATCATTATTATCACCATCATTATTATCACCATCACCATCATCATCATCACCATCATTATCACCATCATCACCATCATCATTATCACCATCATTATTATCACCATCATTATAATTACCATCATTATAATTACCATCATTATAATTACCATCATTATCACCATCACCATCATCACTATCATTATCACTATGACCACCATCATCATCACCATCATCACTATCATTATCACTATGACCACCATCATCATCACCATCATGATCACCATTATTATTATAACCATGACCACCATCATCATTATCACTATGACCACTATCAACATCACCATCATTATCATCACCTGACCATCACCACCACCATCATGACCACCACTGTTAACACCATCTTCACCACTTGTTCCAGGGTTTCCAACAGGAATGAAATGGGGTTTCATGAATAAACCTTCAGATGGAAGGTAAACACAATTGTGCTGTATTAGTTTAGGTTTCCTCTTGTAGTAACACTGGATCAATAAGATATGGCCCTTACTGGACATTAGAACTGATAGAGTTAACTAGTTAACCAGTATAAATAAAGTCAGTTTTTTTATGTTTCCTCTTGTAGTAACACTGGATCAATAAGAGTTGGCTCTTACTGGACATTTAGAACTGATAGAGTTAACCAGTATAAATAAAGTTTGATAAGTGTTTTCTTGTTCTGT